AGAGAAGTATCCGATGACTTGGGACAACCTGTAAACTGCATCTCAATGTCAAATGACGGTAACTGCATACTAGCAAGTTGCCTAGATTCGACTTTACGTCTCATTGACAGGTAAATACATTTAAAATCACTTATTGTAGTAGTCATGTATCTGGTTTAAGTTGCACGCCCTTTCACTAATTTTTTCTTGTGATAGGTCTTCTGGTGAATTACTTCAACAGTACCATGGTCATACATGTAAGGTCAGTACGCTGATGTGTTATTATGGATTACGGAACTCTGTCATAGTTCCTTTGCTATATTGTAATTCAGATATGCCTTGTTATGTCGATGTTTTTTTGGCTGGAAATTGATTTGTTGGTTATTCAAACATTTTATATGACTTTGCATTTATTTTAATGTGCGCTTTTATGGTTCTTCTTTTTTTACCTCATATGTAGTTACCTTGAAGTATTTGGCACAGGCTTGCACTATTTGACTCTCGTTGTTCATGAGTTCTTATCATTTCCATTGCTTGTTTCTGTATCAGTCTTACAAATTGGACTGCTGTATTACCAACACTGATGCCCATGTAACCGGTGGGTCTGAGGATGGCTTTATTTTCTTCTGGGATCTGGTAGATGCATCTGTGGCAACAAAGTTCAGAGCTCATTCATCGGTGGTAAAGCCTAGTTTCCTCCGCTCACTGTTGTTTTTCTATCAAAATTGTGTCAAATGCTCACAATGTCCCTACTACTTACATTGTGTTTCTTGTGTATGAAAAAAGAAAATGTTCCTGTGACTTATACAGACTAATACAGTTCAAAAGGGTTGTTACTTCCATAATTTGGATAATCTTGTCAATAAATTTAAGAATAAGTGCTGCTCTTTCATTATAGCATTTTAGTTCTGATGCTTTTTCTGCTTTTCTAAGGCTTCTTTCTCTTTTATGCTTTATTTTAATTCTTCTCTCTCTCTTTGTGTTCATTTTGGATAGGCTTTTAATTTTCATTATATTGCCAATTGAGTCAGTTGTACATAAACCTCTTCGTATTTTCCTTGTGTTGTTTTGCTCTTTGTTGGTGTTAGTTTTGTATAAGCCTTTTCTTTCATTATATTGCCAACTGATACATACTTACATGTATAATTTTTTGTATTTTCCTTTAAGGTTTTGCTCTTTCATTGTGTTAGTTTTCTATAAGCTTTTTTCTTTCATTATATACATACTTGCATGTAGACTTTTTCATTCTGATGCATTGTCATAAGGATGGTGGTTAGTGCTCTCTCTTGCAAAACTCCCTTCCCCTGAATTTAACCAAATGCCTTTAGAACTTGGAGAGGTGTCACTTGAATAAAGTGGCTGTTTGGAGATCGTAAATTAGACGGACTTCCAACATGCGACTGGAAATAGTATCATGGGCAATAGTGCTCTGGGGACAACACCCAACTATTTCTATCAATGGCTGGGGATAATATGATTTTAATTCTCATCTATTTGTTTTTAATGTAAAATGGTAAAGAAGTTGGAAAATCACTTAAACTTGGTTTATGAACATGGAGAAACAGAAACTGAAGAGACCCATTGTGAAGTATACAAAGTTCACATCTGTCTTGGAATTTTTTCATGGCTTTCTTTTTGGTTGTGGATTGGAAATTGACCAATTTCATTGAGGTATTCTGTCACAACATTTATCATGATTGTAAGGGGATAGCGTAGTTTAGGTCATGATTGCTGCATCTTGGTCCGTTCTTTGCTTCTAGCACTAGGACTAGTGTAAACCATCAAAAGAGGTGAGATCCATTACCATATAAAATGTGCTTTTGGATTTCTTATAAGTGGCTCAGGATCTGTTTTGGGTCAAGCAACATTATTGAAATATGCATGTTGAAGCTGAGGTCATCCGTTTGCCCGAGGACAATAACACTAGACATATTCTAGTTTATGAAGATTTGTAGTGTTTTCCATATAATGACTGGTTTGTGAACAAAAAAGCTTGTCGAAAGTTGCTTGGAAATCCTAAATGCTTGTGGGATTTGTCTGTCTTTTTGGTTTTCCTTCTCCTGTTGGTAAATAACAGCTTTTTGGATTTGGTTTGACAGGTAACAAGTGTGAGTTATCACCCAAAGGACAACTGCATGATAAGTTCCTCTGTTGATGGCACCATTAAGGTGTGGAAATCTTGAGAACTTTTCACAAGCAATGAAGTAAATCAACCTATGCTATGCTGCAAATGCTGCAATTTGTACCTTCTCTGCTGAAAACTGAAATGCTGCCTTGTAATTATAGAATTGTTAGCTTTGCTTGTTCCAATGCTCTTCACTTTCAGAGTTTTGTATCTGATTTTGCACAACATTTTACTGTATTGAATTTGGGGCACACTCTAATTGATGTATGAAAAGTTAACAATGTTTTGTATTGAATTTGGGCACACTCACTCCAGATAGATCAATATTCACAACAAAGATCCAACCTTTTATTTGAAGAACGTGATATACAAAATGAACAAAACATAAACAAAGATCATCACACTTGTACAATTAATGGTGAGAATTTCAAATTTCAAATTTCAAATGTCAATCTTCAACTGGTAGGTGGTGATGTAAACTGGTAGGAGGCATAAGAAAGAGCAC